CGAGCCTTGGGCCCTCGTCCCACCCCCTCCCCGCCGTCTACGAGTATAAATCTTATCCCTAGTAATTACTGATCTACTAATACTTGTGTAGCTTAACTGAAATATGCCAAATATCATTTTTATTTTTGGAAAATTTAAGGGAATGTACCCAATTGGTTCTGGCACAATAATATATACACAAAATTATCAAATGAATGTATGCGCTAGCGACTATATGTCAAGTAAACGCGCATATGCGTCTTCAATAATTAGTGACATATTTAACACAATTATGTCAGGAACAAGTATTTGTTCTAATTGTTCAATGAAAACGAGTTATGGAACAATGCGTAATTAGTTAAATTTTTAATGAAAAATATATTCCCATATTTTTGATATATTTCTATATCATTAAACAAAAATATAAATTTTGTCTACTCTCATCCAATATTTATAAATATCTTATAATTTAAAACGGGTAGTTAACTTATATATTATATTTACGGTATTAGAAAACAATTTGTACTATCGCATTATCTTCCCTCAATTTATATTCTTTTTTTCTCGTCATTGAGTTTGCAAATTTATTCAAAAACTTGTCAGCTTCATTTACTCATTAGAATATACAAAATATCATTAACTAGAATTAGTTTTAAAATACGTATGGATTTTATTTTAAAATTTTTTGAGGATTAAAATTTATTTGCTTGACCATTATTTGCCATTTATCATTCAGGATTTTAAAAAGGACAAAAAAAGGAGAATATCAAATGCGAGTAGACAATGCGATATTACAAGAGCTGTTTTGAAATAAATTAATCTTAGAAATTCAGAACTAAAAGAAGTTCGAAAAATATTAAGATATTTTTTAAGATTTGAAGTCCTTCGAAATATTTTGAATTTTGGATGTGTTATTACAGTAAGGTGCAGAAGTTTATGCCGCTGCACACTGCAGGCAGAGATATCAATATACCTTAGAAAGAAGAGGTACTTAAATTAAATCGATTTTATGATTAATAAGGGTAGTACATATTGTATTACTAAAATATATAAAAAATTCCAATACAAATACATTTTATTCAGAAATTATAAACATCAAAACCTATCTACCTCAAATTTTGGAAAAGCAATAGTTTATAATGCTTATAGGGAAATTTTTTTTGGTTCCAAAACAAGACGAAAAAAAGTTCAAAAAATTTTTATAAGCTTTTTCATTGATATTGAATGGAAAAGCAAAGATAAGGAATTAGATAAATAACTTTTTCATCAGCATTGTGGATTCATGCCACCCTATCTTGAAGATGAAATTTTTCACAAATATGAGACCAAGTGTAGTTTATAGCAAATTTTATGGGCTTTTTAATGAGCCCAAAACGAATTTTTGATACAGGCCCTAGGGAGCTAAAATATTTTTTGAAGTACTGTAACCTTATTTGCCATTGACACAAGCGGCATAAACTTTTGCTCCCCCAAAATTTGAGGTAAATAAGTTATGGTGTAAATAAATTTCGAATAACAGTAGTATAGGAAAATTTTTTTATAAATATTATAAACAGATGAACTATTCATTCTTAATAAATATATAATCCAGTTAATTTAAGTACATTTTCTTCCTGAGATATAACGATTTCTCTGCCTGAAATGTGCAATGGCATGAGCTTTTGCATGGGTTATTTATTATAATTCATACCACATCTGTCACGCTAAACTCTAAGCTTCTAATTTTATAATTTTTTGAAATTCTATTTAAATTATATAGATTGATATACGACTAAGAATTCTCCCGTCAGATTTGAACCAGAATTTATACTCTCTTCTGAATAGATATTTCTCAAAATCTAATGTTTCATGTGCTAATTGTTACGCCATGAATGAACAATGTAAAGAACTTTGGTGGTTGCCAGATGTGCTGATAATAAGACTTGAGAGAGATACTACGACTAAGCAGTAAAAAATTAATAAAACTTGTACTAGTACATCGATATGGGCTATAATTTTAAGCAAATATGAGCTAAATTATTTTCTAATAATAGTCGAAAAAATTAGGGGATTAAGATTATCATGCATAACTTTATAATTTATATTAAATACTTTTTATATAGAATCAGGTTTAAGATTCTAAAATAAGAGAAAATAACACTAAAGGAGAACACACAAGTACCAATGCATAATTCCCAAAAAAACATTAATATAAATTTATTTTTAGCCATCAAATAGAATATCCTACTAGTGATTTAAACTTGGGACAGTATTTACATCCAGAGTCGCCATTTCGTGCTACAAAAGAGAGTAAAACTTATTCTCTTTATGGTATTATTGTAAGTAAAAGTTACTTAGAATTATAGCATCATCCCGAATTCAATAATGTAAAATGACTTTTCTCTTTACAATTTTCGTTACCAATTTAGAAAAAGTTACTCGTTAACATTTATTCATGTGGCATTTTGTTGTCTTGCATTTCCGATTTCAGAAAAATTTAGCTGATTTCCGATTCACCTCTGATACTAAGTCACATTTCTTGTTAATATAGAAATAAATCTTATTCTCTTTGTGCTATAATTCTAAGTAATTACAGTCGGATCACGAGTATATCGCAGAGAATTACTTATGTTACCCTGATTTCCTATGAACGAATAAAATCAAAAAGGCCTGGAGCCTACTTATGAAAATAAAAACTGAATAACTTTTCTGGGTTAAAAAACGAAGAGCTCTTCACAAAGGGAACAGTATTTTTATTTACCGAAAAAATATTTTTCTATCGAAAATAATTTTTATTTCTATACATGCCTTCTTGATTTTATTTGCATTAATATCCTCGAAAATAATCACCATAAGACTCCAACTCTAAGAAAAATGTAATGCGTTAATAACTTATAGGAATTGTTTCCAACAGAAAGAAAATGTTTGGAAAGAAATTGAAAAGAATTTTTTGGGCGGAGAATAAAATAAATAAAATATATTTTTATGATTAATATATTTTTTTTCCACGCAAATTTCACCCTTTTTAAATCGTCAAATTTTTCATTATTCTTCAGTCGCTTTTGAATTTCGAATTTTGGAAGAAAATAAATATTTTATTGTGGAAATAAATTTGAGAGTTAAATTAAGGGGCTTTAGAGAAATTACCCTAGAAAATATATAGGAAGGAAAACCTTATAATTAATTTTAATATTTTGGTTTTCATATGGTGCCACGACCATAATTGTGTTTATATAATATTGTTTGAGGAAAACAATAAATTTGAATTTATTTGAAGTTGAAAATTTGTTTGAATAAAATTTTTTTTTTTTGATTGTTTGAAGAACAATCAGATATAACTTTTGAGGTTTATATTTTTTTAGTAGAAGAATAATAATGTCCGGAACTATTCGTCAAGCTATGACTCCGGCTATAACGCGATTGCGTGAACATATTGAGGAAATTCGCCCCGTTTTGGACGCCCAAGAGCGCACAGTTGAAGGTATGGAAATGTTAAGGACAAGGTTAGTAAAATTGCGACGTCTAGTTAATCGTCTCGAAGAAAGGGCCAATCAATGGCAGGATTATATTAGAGGACTCCCGGCTAATGAAAGACAAGCCGAGGAACAGGTTTTAGCAAATTTTGCGCCATTAGAGCACCATTATGCGGAATGGATAGAAAATGCGCATGAAATGATTGCGGATATTGAGATTTTGTTGACAGAGTCAGAAGACGGCAGTACTCAGTCCGATCTTTCTGTAGAATTGGGAGTTGGACAAAATAGAGCCAACCAATCAAGGAGGCCAGAAGCTCCAATAAATGATGGGCAGACTCCGTTAAATGAGAATTTATTTCGTAGGAATGAGTATAATATTCCTGCGCATTTGCCTAGGACTAGGTTGGCAGAGTTTTATGGAGACCCTCTAGTTTGGCCAGAATTTTGGCAATCTTTTAGTAGAACTGTAGATAGCCTGGTGATGGACCCAGGGCTAAAAGCACATTATTTAATTCAGTGCCTTAGAGGTAAGGCCAAAAGGGCGGTTTTGGGTTATCGGCCGATTGCCGAACATTATGAACCCCTCAAGGATGCATTAAAAAGACAGTTCGGGAATGAAAAAGCAATAAGGGATACTCTCCATGCCGAATTAATTAGCCTTCCTATGGCAAATGAATCTGTTTTTTCTCTTCGTTCGTACCTTGAGGAAGTTGAAAGGATTTGTAGATCCCTCACAGCAATGGGAAGAGTTGAAGATGAATCTATAGTAATGATGGCAATCAAGAATAAGTTGCCAAAAAATATTGTTTTAGAATTGTTAAAAAAGGAAAAAGAAGCAAGAGCGACTTGGAATGTTGATGAATTAAGAAAAGGTTTAGAAGAGATAGTAGCTCTTAGAGAAGAAGCGCAAAGGTGCGTACAGACATTTTCTAAAAATATTAATTATAGCCAACAGAGGTTTGGTAACAATTGGAATAATAATAGAGGTTTTAATCAAAAGCGAGCTAATTTTAAAAGAGAAAATTTTGATCGGGTGTTTATGGTACAATCAGGTGATTATAAAGCAAGAAACAATAGAAAGTTTGAAATTTCTTGCTATTTTTGTCATGGAGCTCACCACGCAGAAAAATGCGAAAAAGTGAAAGCGATATATATTAGGACAAAAATGCTTACAGAGCAAAATCGATGTTTGCTTTGCTTAAGGAAGGGCCATACAGTGACGAACTGTGTCACTAGAATTGAGTGCAATATTTGTAGAGGACGTCATAATAAATTGATCTGTCCAAATTTATATAAAAAGGTAATAAATGGAAAAGAATTTAAAAAAGTTGAGCAGGTAAATCAAGTAGAGACTTCGGAAAATCTACTTACTATAGTAGAAAAACCGAAGGAAGTTGCATTAATGCAAAGTAATATGGTTTTATCCAATTCAGTAATTAATAAAAAGTGCAATTCGGTTGGCTTATTTGATACAGGAGCCACTATTAATTTTATTACCGAAGAGAAAGTGAAAGAATTGAATTTAAAAAAGATAGGAGAAAAGGAACTAGGAATTATCCCGTTTTCTCATAAAGAACCTATAAGAATTAAATCAGCAAAGTTTTTATTTGAAATTATTCTCGAAGATGGAAGTAGAGAAGAAATTATTGCATATAAAATTAAAAAAGAAATAATGCCAAATATAAAGTGTGCTAATTTAGAAAATGGTAGAATTCGAACGTCAGAAAAAGTACCAGACGTTTTAATTGGTATAAAGCACTTTTGGAAATTTTTCCGCAATTTGGTACCCTTATCAGATAATTTGTTTAAGGTTGACACTTCGGTTGGTACAATTATTTGTGGAGAGCTTGAAAGTGAATTAAATGGAATTTTATCAAAAAAGAAAAATAATAAAATTGTACCAATATTAAATATAGACTCTGATGAAAAATTAAATAATTTTTGGAGTTTGGAAACCATAGGAGTTAAGGATGACCCGACAACCAAAGATGATCAGGTTGCAATGGATTTCTTTAAAAAGACTATAAAGCGTTCTCCGAATGGTCGATATATTGTAAAATGGCCATGGAAAGAAGAAAGAGAAAAATTACCTTCCAATTTTTCTTTAGCCTATAGGCGTTTTGCGGGTTTAATGGAAAGACTTAAAAAGAACCCAGATTTAATGCTTGAATATGAGAAAATAATTGAAAATGACATAAAAAGAGGAGTTTTGGAAAATGCTGATCGAAACAAAGGATCAATAGAGCATTTCCTCCCTCACCATCCTGTCATCACCACTAAAAAAGTGAGAATAGTGTATGACGCGTCGGCTAAAATAAGAGGAGGAAAAAGCCTAAATGAATTGTTATATCGCGGTCCGATAATAATGCCAGAATTAGCTGGAATGTTAATTAGATTTAGGCTTCCAAAAATTGCCATTTGGGCAGATATTGAAAAAGCGTTTCATTGTTTAGAGCTTGATCCAGAAGATCGAGAAGTATTAAAATTAATATGGTTAAAGGACGTAAGAAAGCCAATCACTTCAGATAATATAAAATATTTACGATTTTCAAAGGTCCCGTTCGGGGTAATATCGAGTCCTTTCCTTTTATCTGCCACGGTAAGGCATCATTTAGAGTCAATGGATGACCCAATAGCACAAAGGCTTAAAAATAATTCATATGTGGATAATATATTGATAGGTGTTGATACAAAAGAGGAAGCTTCAGAAGCATATTTTAAATTGAAAAATATATTTAAAACAGCCCAAATGAACCTTCGAGAGTTCATTTCTAATTGTTTAGAATTTAATGAAGAATTGCCTATGGAAGATCGCTTAGAAAAAAGCAAATCAAAAATTCTAGGAATTCCATGGAATATTGAAACTGACAAACTTTCAGTAACTTTTCCTGTTGTTGAGAATAATAAAAAGATAAATAAAAGGTTGGTACTGAAACAATTAGCTAGCGTATTTGACCCGCTAGGATTTGCTTCCCCGAGTTTATTATCCGCGAAATTGTTTTTCCAGTCTTTATGGGAAAAACAGCGAGAATGGGATAGCATTTTAATCGAAGAAGAAGCCAACAAATGGTGTGAAATCATCGAAACATGGAAAGTTTCGCCTATTGAAATTGAAAGAAAAATAATAGATAAAAGCGGTGAATATCAATTACATGTGTTTTGTGATGCATCCAAAGATGCGTACGCTTCTTGTGTTTATATGAGATGTATCACCAGTCAAAAAATTATGCTTAATATTTTGTATGCCCGAAATAGACTCAAACCTAAAAAGATGAGCGTTAGTATACCACGAATGGAATTGTTAGGGGTACTAATTGCTACTAGAGCGGTAAATTTTGTTTCAAAACAAATTGGTTTAAAAATTTCTCAAAAATATCTTTGGTGTGATTCTAAACCTGTTTTATATTGGATTAAAGAAAATTATAAAGGAGAAAAATTTGTTGAAAATAGAATTAAAGAAATTAGAAGTCATGGTGATTTGAATTTTGGCTATATTCCAACAGAGTGTAATCCTGCGGACATTGCAACACGCGGATGTACACCTGTTGAACTAAGCATTAATTCATTATGGTGGTCAGGACCTGAATTTTTGAAAAATTCTGAAAATTTATGGCCTGACGAGTTAAATTTTGTTGTTGAAAATAATGAAAAAGAAAATAATTTTGAAGAAAATTTTGAAATTAATCAAATAAATATTAAAGAATGTAATAAATTCATTGATTTTAATAAATGGAATAGCTGGAATAAAATTTTAAAAATTATTTTAATTGTTTCTCTCTTCGCTCGAATATGGTTGAGTAAATGTAAAATGAAAATTAAGAGCGAATTTATTAAATCAATAAGCGAAAACAAAAGACATACAGGTGCTGATATTAAAAGAGTGGAAATATTTTTACTAAAATTAATACAAAAGGGAATTGACAAAAATTTAATAAATAGGAATACAATAATTATTACTGATAAAGATGGACTTTTTCGGTTGAATTCTAGAATAGGCAAAAGCGAAATGTCTGATGGATTTAAAAACCCTATAATATTGCCAAAGGGTCACCCTGCTGTAAAATTAATCATGGATAAATTACACATTGAGCTTTTACATTCAGGCGTGGACGCCGTTTTAGGAAATTTCTTAATTAAATATTGGTCACCGTGCGCCAGAAGAGAGGCCAAGAAAGTAGTAAGGAATTGTAAAAAGTGCCAAAAAATAAATGGACCGAAATTCGCACTCCCAACAATGCCAGGATTGCCTAAGGAAAGGCTAATTAAATCAAGAGCCTTTGAGGCAATTGGCGTTGACTATTTAGGACCTTCTCTCTTTAAAATTGAGAATGGAAAGTCTAAATTTTGGATTGTTCTTTTTACGTGTTTTACGACTAGGGCAGTCCATCTCGAAATAGCATTGGAGCTCTCGGCACTAGAATTTTTACACTGTCTAAGACGTTTCATCGCCAGTCGAGGATGTCCCAAAAAGATACTATCGGATAACGCCAATCAGTTCAAAGTGGTTTCTGAATTAATCGGCGCTAAGCTCGTAGGAAAATGGGTCGAAAAACAAACAAATGAGGAAAAAAGATTAAATAATTTTTTAATAAATAAAGGAATTGAATGGTGTTTTATTCCATCGCTTTCCCCATGGGCGGGAGGAGTTTATGAGCGTTTAGTTAAATTGGTTAAAGACTCCTTTAAAAGAACACTAGGAGGTGTTATATTAAATTTAGAAGAGTTAAGAACCTTCATAAAAGAGGTTGAATTTTCTATTAATTGTAGGCCTATTTCTTTTGTTTCTGGAGAGATGGATGGACCATCTTGTCTTAGACCTGTTGACTTTCTCTTGCCAAATATTGAAATTAATGAAAATATAAATGAGTCAGATGTAGAAGAAGAATTTAAAATAGGAAAACTGAGTATGGGAGATCAATTAAGAGTACGATTAAAAGCCACTCAAAAGGCCTTTGAAAAATTTTGGACGAGATGGACTCGCGAATATTTATTGATTTTAAGGGATAAATCGAAATGGACCCATAATAACGATCGGACTTCACTAAAAAGAGAACCAAAGGTTGGGGAAGTGGTGATTGTGCAACAAGAAGGCCAGCCAAGGAATACTTGGAGTTTGGGAAAAATTATTGAGCTAGATGGAAGCCCGCCAAAGAGCGCTAAAGTGCAAATAGGAAAAAGATGTTTAGTAAGGCCTGTCAATAAGCTTTTTCCGATGGAAACAAAAAATGACGTAATTAAAAATGGAGAAGAAAAAAGTGAAAATAAACTGGAGAATGGCCAAAATAATGATGCAAATAAAAATAAAATAAAAAATAAGGACAAAGAACAAAATTCAATAAATAATAATTCAAAAGGAATAAAAAATGGAGAAAATAAATTAAAAAATAAAAACAATATACATCCCATGGTCACCAGAGCAAAAAAGGCGACATTAATCTTGACAATTATAAATTTATTTTTATTAATGAACTTTGTATCTTCAAATCCCACTTATTTAGTAAGCTGCAGGGGTTGCAGAATGAAATGTAAAAATTTCGGATTATTAATAAGTGTCGGATCTGAAATTGACAAAGTAGAAGTTTGTTGTATGGGTACTTGTATAATCGAAACAAATGGATTGGAACATTTAGAATTAGGACTGCCAAAGGATGTAACGGCACTAGATTATAGATGTCGAGCAAAATATATAAATGGTCGACGAATATTTCGAGGAAGTATTTTTTGTCCGGCAGTAGATCCTTGTTTAAGAATTACAGAAATTTGGGAAAGGATATTAAATCCACAATGTGAATCAACAAAAACTATAACCATAGTTGGTATTTTCTTAGCATTTATGCTTTGCCTATTAATAAGCGGAATGGTTTGCGCTTGTAGAATTTTTTCAATATTAGGCAAAATAATTTTAATTATTTGGAGATTAATTAAAACAATGGCTAAAATTTCTTCTAAAAAAGATGGAAAAATTGAAAATAAGGACCTTGAAATACTTATTGATCGGTCCCATAAATTAAAGAAAATAAATAGAATAAAAAGGAATAGAAGATTAAACCGACTTGGATTATTAAATATAATTATTTTTATTATTTTTATGAAAATTGTAAAAGCCGATATTGAGGTTATTTCAATTCAGGCGAGATCGGAAGATTGTTATAGATACAAAAATTTAACCACCTGTAAAATTACCACGACTAATACCTTAACTTTATTGCCTGATGGGCAGGTAATTTCCTTAACTTTAAAAAATGATAAAGGAATGATAATGGGTGAAATGGAATTTATTATGAACAGTCTTTCAATAAAATGTAACCAAAAATCTCAAAGACAATTGAGATCATATGAGCTTAAAGTTGGATCTGTTAAAAGGTGTCCAGCTCAGGGGACCTGTAAAGCTGGAAGATGCCAACATATTAGATCGAAAGAAAATGTTGAAGAGTTAGATGAATGGATTAAAAAACCAGGAAATTCATATTGTGTCGAAGGCCACGCATTATGGGGATATCAATGTGGATTACCTGGAGCAGCCTGTTATTTCTATAAAGTATATGCCGAACCAGTTTCTAATGAGGTATTTGAATTGGTTTCATGCCCTACATGGGATTATATAATTGATATAGAAATGTCAATGAGATTTAAAGGAAATATATCAAAATATACTTTTTCATTAAGTCCTGGAGCGACAATAAAATGGGATAAAATTAAAATATCGCTATTGGATATTACCCCACCTATGGCTCCAATTTTAAGCAATCAATTTATAATTGGTAACAATGGAGTAGCAATGGTCGATAATTTTAAATTAGATCTAGAATGTTCTGATGCCAAAAATTTTTCAAAATGTGAATTAGATATAAATTCTTGTAAAGAATGTTGGTTAGATAAAGAAGAGGAACAAATAAAATGTGCTTGTATTGATTTAATTATTGAGGAAATATTTAAAGATAAACAAAAATCTTTGCCTTTAGATACAAAAAGGATTAAATTAAGGAATAATGGAAGAAATATATATTCAGAAACAAGTTACTTACCTATAGAAATTATGGTTAGATTTGAAAATTATACAATAGCTTCAAATATAGATATTTCTATTTGTAAAATTGAACCTATTATATTATCGGGTTGTTATAATTGCTTTGGAGCAATTTTTAAATATAAATGTTTTTCGGATTATGGAAATCCTCTAGCAGAAATAAAATGTAAAAATGGCAATATTTTTACAAGTAAATGTTCAATAAATGGGACTGAACAAGTTTCAGTTCTATCTT